CCGCCCGCCCCCCGTGCCCCACTTAGGTCTAGTATCGCCGCAGGCCTCGCCCCCGCTGGGGCCCCACCCACATGCCGCGCCGGCCCCGCCCCCATGAGAACAGACCCGGTCCCCGACCCGAGCCCCAGCTCGGCCTGTGCCCCAGTACGGCCCAGTTCCGGTTTCAGCGCAGGCCCCGCCCACGTCCAGCCTCAGCTCCTCCCCCGTGCTACTCTATGGCCCCTCCCTTTCTCAGCGCAGGCCCCGCCCACGTCCTCTGGGCGGCTCAGCCCCGCCCCCTGGCCGACCCGGCCCCACCGGGCTGCCTGGATTCGGGAGTCGGCGGAGGCGGCGGCGAAGCGGGGGACGTCATGGCGGCCTTGGAGCGCCGCGCCTTTGCTCACAAGATCAACAGGTAGTGAGCGCGGGGGTGGAGGGGTGGAGGGGTGTCTCTGCACGCCGGCCCCCCAGCGGCTCTTCTTTTCTGCCGGGGCCTCCCTGTCCTCCGCGCTGGGGTCTGTGCTGGGCTGCTCCCGGAGGGCTTCCCGGAGGAGGCAGCGCGCCATCCACAGGCCCCGCGCTCCGCCCCCTGGGATAGCACTTCCAGCTGCATCCCGGCCGGGATGCAGGTCCTGGCGGCCTTCGGAAGCTCTGGTGATTTCCCAAGCCCTTCCCCTGCTGCAGGGTCCCGGGACCCAGCTGTCCGGGAGAGGAGGGAGCTGGGGGAGGTGGGGACAGCTGGGGTAAGCCCTCTACCTTCTGCCTCAGCCTTTCCCAGCACGGACTAGACGTGCTGGGGGGTGGGGGGATGTGAATGACGGAGTTGGATGAATGGACCGTGTGGGGGCTGGGGATGGAACCAGCTGGTGGGCAGACAGGGGTAGGGAGGGGGGGAGGTAACATGCGACAGGCGCTAGGGGATCTATTTCCGTGGCCACTGGGGATTGTGAGAGAGCATGGGAGAGGGGCGCTGTCAGACTTCTGGGGTGGGTACCTGCCACCTGTTCTGACCACCCTCAAGGTGGGAGAAGTCACCTTGTAGGTCCCTCACCCTGATAGAGACAAAATAAAATGACCCCACCCTTGGGGGTTGCTATAGTGCTGCAAGCAGGCTAGATGCTGGTAGAGTTGGAGGTGTGTTAGTGATGGGGTGCAGCAGGGACATACAGACTTGGGCATGGGGAGGCTGGAGGCTAAGCAGGTATATGGGAGATGGTCAAGGTCTGACTGAACATGCAAGTGTGTTTAAATAGACACTGGCCTGAAGGAGGTAAGGAAGAGATTTCTGCTGATGAGTTAGTTGGGAAGAGAGGCCCCAAAGTTAAAGAAAGAGCAAATGCAAAGGCCCTGGGGCCACAGAGGAGAAATTAATAGGAATAGATTGTATAGGGCCTGGTGGACCTAGGATCTTTGACACCAAGTGAAATGGGAGCCATAAAGAGTTCTGGGTAGCGGAGAGATGTGACCTAGTGCCAGGGCTCAGAGCAGGTGGGCAGTTTTTATGTTGACATTTCATCTCTGAATCATCTCCTGGTGATAGGACTCTAGGTATCTCTGAGCCTGGGGATATTATTACTGTGTTTTCCGCCTCTCAAGTCTCTATGTCTGTAAATTATTCTGACTAAAGTGAGAAAGGTGGGTCTTGGATCTTGTCCAGGGGAATAGGGACTTCGGAGCGCAGGACAAGAACAGAAAAAGACCCTGGGGCTCTAGTGCACTGGACAGAAGTGGTCCAAGGTTTGCCAAGCAGCCTAGAATGTGTCTTTGTGCTAAGACCTGAACCTATTCACCTATTCATTCACTTCATCCACAAATGCTAGATTAACTCAAATAGCAGGTAGTCCCTCAGCTTCCCAGCGAACTCATCAGTGTCTTAGCCTTTCTTTTTTTGACAGTTCTTTTTAAAAGTATTTTTATTTACTTTTATGTGTACAAGTGTTTTGCCTGCATGTATGTAAAGTGCCCTGTGTGTCTGTGCAATGCCCACAGAGGCCAGAAGAGGGCATCAGATTCCCTGGAACTGGAGTTACAGATGGTTATTAGCCATCATGTGGGTGCTGGGAACCAAACCTGGAACCTGGATTCTCTGAAGAGCAGCCAGTGCTCTTAACTGCTGAGCCACCTTTCCAGCCTCCTACCCCTCTCCGTCGTCGTCCTCGTCGTCATCGTCGTCGTCCCTTCCTCCTTCCTTCCCTCCCTACTTCCCTCCCTCCCTCCCTCTCTTCCCCTCCTCCTCCTCCTCCTCCTCCTCTTTTTGAGACAGAGTCTCCCTATAGCTTTAGCTGGCCTGGAACCCACTATGTAGACCAGGATGGCCCAGAGCTCATAGAGATCCACCAGCCTCTGCCTCCCAAGTGCTGGAGTTAAAGGTGTGTGCCACCATGCCTGTAGCCCCAGCTGGCCTAAAACTCACTATGTAGACCAGGTCGGCCTCAAATTCACAGAGATCCGCCTGCCTCTGCCTCCAGAGTGCTGGAATTATGTATATGTATGTGTGTGAGGGGGGATATGTTGCACATGAGTGCAATGCCTGTGGAAGCCAGAAGAGGGTGTTGAATCCCCTGGAGCTGGAGTCGCAGTTGGTTGTTAGTGGCCATGTGGGTGCTGGGAACTGAACCCAGGTCCTCTGTAAAAGCAGTATGCACTCTTAACTACTGAGCCATTTCTCCAGCCCCTTGAGATTTTATTATTTTAAAATTGTGTTTGTGTATGTATGTGTGCATGTGAGTGTGTGTGTGTGTGTGTGTGTGTGTGTGTGTGTACACATGAATGCAGTGCCACAGAGATCAGAAGAGGGTGTTGGATCCCCTGGAACTGGGGTTCTGGGAATTGAACTCAACTCCTCTACAAGAGCAGCTAGTGCTTTTAACCTCTGAGCCATCTCTCCAGATCCTGTGTGCCTAATTTTTTTGAGAAAGATTTACTTTATTTACTTATTTTGTGTGTCCCAGAGTGTGTGTGCATGTGCAGGTGTTTGTGTGTGTGTCTGTGTGTGCGCATGTGCAGGTAGGTGTTTGTGTGTGTGTCTGTGTGTGCATGTGCAGGTAGGTGTTTGTGTGAGTGTCTGTGTGTGCATGTGCAGGGCGGTGTTTGTGTGTGTGTCTGTGAGCGCATGTGCAGGTAGGTGTTTGTGTGAGTGTCTGTGTGTGCATGTGCAGGGCGGTGTTTGTGTGTGTGTCTGTGAGCGCATGTGCAGGTAGGTGTTTGTGTGTGTGTCTGTGTGTGCATGTGCAGGGCGGTGTTTGTGTGTGTGTCTGTGAGCGCATGTGCAGGTAGGTGTTTGTGTGAGTGTCTGTGTGTGCATGTGCAGGGCGGTGTTTGTGTGTGTGTCTGTGAGCGCATGTGCAGGTAGGTGTTTGTGTGAGTGTCTGTGTGTGCATGTGCAGGGCGGTGTTTGTGTGTGTGTCTGTGAGCGCATGTGCAGGTAGGTGTTTGTGTGAGTGTCTGTGTGTGCATGTGCAGGGCGGTGTTTGTGTGTGTGTCTGTGAGCGCATGTGCAGGTAGGTGTTTGTGTGAGTGTCTGTGTGTGCATGTGCAGGGCGGTGTTTGTGTGTGTGTCTGTGAGCGCATGTGCAGGTAGGTGTTTGTGTGAGTGTCTGTGTGTGCATGTGCAGGGCGGTGTTTGTGTGTGTGTCTGTGAGCGCATGTGCAGGTAGGTGTTTGTGTGAGTGTCTGTGTGTGCATGTGCAGGGCGGTGTTTGTGTGTGTGTCTGTGAGCGCATGTGCAGGTAGGTGTTTGTGTGAGTGTCTGTGTGTGCATGTGCAGGGCGGTGTTTGTGTGTGTGTCTGTGAGCGCATGTGCAGGTAGGTGTTTGTGTGTGTGTCTGTGTGTGCATGTGCAGGGCGGTGTTTGTGTGTGTGTCTGTGTGCGCATGTGCAGGTAGGTGTTTGTGTGTGTGTCTGTGTGTGCATGTGCAGGGCGGTGTTTGTGTGTGTGTCTGTGTGCGCATGTGCAGGTAGGTGTTTGTGTGTGTGTCTGTGTGCGCATGTGCAGGTGTTCGTGTGTGTGTCTGTGTGTGCATGTGCCCTTGTGCCACAGTGCCTGTGAGTAAATCAGAGGACAGCTTCCAGGAGTCAGTTCACCTTCCTACCTTGAAGGTTCTGGAGATCTGACACAGGTCGTCAGGTGTGGTGTCTTTGCCTGTTTAGCCCTCTTGCCACCCCTACCTTGTTTTAGTTTTTTGTTGTTTTGGTTTTGGTTTTTGGTCTTTTTGAGACAGGGTCTCCCTGTAGCCCCAGCTGGCCTAGAACTCACTAAATAGACCAGGCTGGCCTTGAACTCACAGAGATTCACCAGCCTCTGCCTCCTGAATGCTGGGATTAAAGGTGTGCGCCACCATGCCTGGCTATATTTAATCTTTTTTTACATTTGAGTGTTTTGCCTGCATGTATGTAAGTGTACCACATGCATGCAATGCCCTCAGAGTCCAGGAGAAGGCATATGATCCCCTTGACTGGAGTTACAGACATTTGTTAGCTGCCATGTAGGTACTGGGAACCAAACCTGGGTCCTCTGCAAGAGCAGCCAGAGCTCCTAACCGCCGAGCCAGCTCTTCAGCCCCTGTATTGCCTTTAAAACCTTTTAATTCCTTCCTCCCTCCCTTCCTCCTTCCTTCCTTCCTCCCTCCTTCCTTCCTTCCTTCTTCCCTCCCTCCCTTCCTCCTTCCTTCCTTCCTTCCCTTCCTTCCCTTCCTCCCTCCCTTCCTCCTTCCTTCCTTCCTTCTTTTCTTTTGATTTATTTGAATTTTTGAGATTGGGCCTTACTACATAATTCCAGATGTCCTGGAACTCTCTATGTGGCACATACCGGCATCAAACATGCAATGGTCTTCCTGTGCTTGGGTCCCAAGTTCTAGAATTACAGCTGTGTGCCACTTCCAGGACTTGATCTTCGTAGATGACATTACTCCCAACATTGACAGTCAGGGTTGTCCCTCCTTCCTCCCTTCCTCCCTCCCTCCCTCCCATCCTTCCCTCCCTCCTTCCTGTGTGCATGCATGCTTGCTCAGCTGTGTGTGTGGAGGACAGATGACAACTTGTGGGTGTAGGGTTTTTTTCCATTTTTTCCTGGGTAGCAAGGATGAAACAAATGCAGGACATCATGCTTGGTGACAGTAACTTTACCTGCTGAGCCATTTCTCTGGCACCACCTCTGTCTTTTAGAAATGAGTTCTTTCAGGACACCTAAAGCAGGTCAGACGTATGGGTAAAAATGTAGAGGAGAGCTGGACATGGTGGTGCGCACATTTGACCCCAGCACTCAGGAAGCCAAAGTAGGCGGATCTCTGTGAGTTTGAGGTCAGAACCAGTTCTAGGCTAGCTGGGGTTACATATTGAGACCCTGTCCCAAGAAAAGAAAGAGAGAGAGAGAGAGAAAGAGAGGGGGGGGAGGGGGAGGGAGGAGGGAGGGGGAAGAACAAAGGAGGGCAGGCAGGCAGGCTGTGATGATGTCTGTCTTCCTAGCGCTTAGAATGTGAAAGGAGGGGAATTGTGAGTACAAGCCCAGCTTGGGCTACATAGTGAGTTCAGGGCCAGCCTGGACTACATGATGTCTCAAGATGTTTTCAAAGGCTAGGGAGAGAATTCAGTGAGTATATATAACAGTATATACCATGCAGTCATGCTGACCTGAATCCAGTCCCCAGCATCCACAACAAAGCCAAGCATGATGATGAAGACCTATGCTCACAGTGCAGGAAGGATGGAGATCCCTGGACTCAATGGCCAGCTACCAGAGCCTAACTGGAGAGGAGAGCCAGGGAGACACGCTGGCTTAGGAAAAAAGGTGGACGACACCTGGAACTGGAAATACAATTAAACAGTTAATAGCTCTGGCTGCTCTTGCAGAGGGCCTGGGTTTGGTTCCCAGCACCCACATGGCAGCTAACCATTTGTAACTCCAGTTCCAAGGATCCAGCACCCTCTTCTGACACACATTCACAAAGGCAAAACAAGCATATACATAAAATAAAAAAGTATAAAAAAAGGATGTCTGGTACCTGAGGAAGGCTGTACAAGGTAATCTGGCCTCCATGTTTGTGTACACACATCTGCGCACATACAGAGGTTTCCACTCGTTTACCCCCTAATGCCAACATAGGGATGTGGGAGAACATGCTCTTATGCTTGACCACCTCCGACCACCTCCAAGCAGAGAGCCATGGCCATGGCTTGCAGATCCACCCTCTTTTCCAAGACCCAGTGAGGAACTGGAGGCACAACTCAGTTACCACAGAGCCCTTGGCTAGAATCCCCCAGTGAGGGGCTGGGGCTGTGACTCCGTGGTAGAGCAGCATCTCAGATTTCCTGAGAACATGCACTGAAGTAGTGCTTGCTGAATGTCTCCCCTCAGCATTCTGAGGTCAGGGCAGCGGCCAGTGTACTCAGGGTGGTGGTAGTGCGGGGAGCACTGTGTCGTTCCCAGAGCCTCACAGTCCAGGTGGGGACAGGTGCCTGCTTCAGCATCAATATGCTCCAGGAACCCAGGGAGGATGGAGAGGAAGGGGCATGTGGAAGTCAGAGGACAACTTGTAAGTGTCAGGATCAAACTCAGGTCAGCTAGCTGGCTTGCTTGGTTACAAGCGCCTTTACCTGCGGAGCTATTTCATTAGCCTCTTTTTTTGGTCTTTTTGAGACAGGGTGGTCTCCCTGTAGGCCCAGCTGTCCTGGAAATCAGTATGTAGACCAGGCTGGCCTTGAACTCACAGAGATCCGCCTGCCTCTGCCTCCTGAGTCCTGGGACTAAGGGCGTGTGCCACCATGCCCCACAAACCTTTTTTTTTTTTTTTTTTTTAATTTTATTATTTTTATTTTATGTGTATGCATGTATTGCCTGGGCCTGCAGAATTCAGAAGAGGCTGTCAGATCCCCTGGGACTGGAGTTACAGACAGTTTTTAGCTGCCATGTGGGTTCTGGGATTCGAACCTGGGTCCTCTGCAAGAACAACCAGTGTCCTTCACCGCTGAGCCATCTCTCCAGCCCCCAGCCTCATTTTTTTAAAAAAAAAACAAAGTTGCTGTTTTTATTTTTTCTTTTCATCACCTGGACTCTTGTCTCTGACACACAAATCCATCATCCCCTCTCCCCTCAAGCCTGAGTTTCCCTGAGAACCCGGCTTCCAGATTTCACATTTCCTGCCTCCCCATGTCCCTTCGCTGTCTTGCCAGGACGGTAGCCGCTGAGGTGCGGAAGCAGGTGTCCCGGGAACGCAGTGGCTCCCCTCATTCAAGCAGACGCTCTAGCAGCTCCCTTGGGGTGAGTCCCTGCCCCCACGGCTTGCCACAAGCGGAGTACCTCGGGCTCAGATTCAACTCCCCCCGCACCCCGTCCGTGTTCAGTCCTGGTGGGAACTGCCGGCAGACTCCCTGCCATGGCTGGGGGAGGTCCAGGCCTGCCCCGTTCCCATCAGGACAGAAACTGTAGGGGGGTGTTACCCTCTTCCTGGACCACCCAGATGGGGCCCCTGGCTGGGGGATGGGAGAGACTTCCTGCCATGGTGGGGGAAGGGGTGGGTCTGGTCTTGGCCTAGGGCCTCTGGGATTGTCTCTGGCCAATCCTTCCTGTCATGAATTCTTTCCAGACCCCAGGGTGTGATTTCCTTCCTAGAATCTGGAGGGAGGGGGTGGGGCACTGGAAAGTCTGAGGTCACTGCCTTCCATGCACCCTCCAAAGCTCCATTACCCTCATTGGCTCCCACCGCCCTCTTCTCCCAGTCTAAAACCAATCATAATGAGACCACCATCACCAGGGTCCCCAGCCCCAGCCTCATCATCAGTGTGTGGGGTGTCCTGGCCACTGTCCTTCCACTCAGGTCCCCTTGACAGAGGTTATGGAGCCTGTGGACTTCGAGGATGTCCTTCTAAGCCATCCACCGGATGTGGAGCCTGGTCCTCTGAGGGACTTGATAGAATTTCCAGCTGACGATTTGGAACTGCTCAAGCAGCCCCGGGAATGTCGGACCACAGAGTCTGGGATCCCCGAGGATGGGTGGGTTCAGCACCACAATCCCTTCTTCCTGAGTCCCAATACTCCCAAGGAATGTGCTGTGTAACCTTGGGCAAGTCACTCTTCTTCTCTGGACCGCCATGTTCTGCAGCTTTGATTCACTTATTTTGTTTTTATGTTTTCACTGCATATATGTAAGCACCCAGTGGAGACCAGAAGAGGGTGACGGACCCTGGAACTGGAGTTAGGGATGGATTGGTCATGTGGGTGCTGGGAACAGAACCTCAGTTCTCTGCAAGAACAGCCTGTGAACCACTGAGCCAGCTCTCCAGTCCCTGATTATATTTTATGTGTATGAGTGTTTTGCCTGGATGTTTGTAACTGCACCTATGCATGGAATACCCATGGAGACCAGAAGAGGGTGTCAGATCCCCTGAAACTGGAGTAACACTATTGTTGGTTAGCTACTATGTGGGTGCTGGGAACTGAACCCAGATCCTCTGCAAGAGCAGCCAGTTCTTTTAACCACTGAACAAGCTCTAGCCTATGTTTTGTTTTTTGTTTTTTGTTTTTGAGCAGGGTCTCCCTAGTCCTAGCCCACCTGGAAGTCACTATGTGGACCAGGCTGGCCTTGATCTCAGAGATCCGCCTGCCTCTGCCCACCTGGGCACTGGGTTTTGGTCTTTTTGAGACAGGTCTCCCTGTAGCCCTAGATGACCTGGAACTCACTGTGTAGAACAGGCTGACCTTGATCTCACAGAGATCTACCTGTCTCTGCCTCCTGAGTAGTGCTGGAATTAAATAAAGGTGTGCACCACCATGCCGAGCCTGGTTTTTTTTTCTTTTTCTTTTTTTTGAGAGTCACACTATCCCAGCCTAGTCGGAAACTCACAGCAATCCTCCTGCCTCAGTATCTCCAACACTGGTATTGACAGTCCCTTTCTCCTAGGCTATTAGAATGTTCACATGGTGTCCTGCCTCTGTTTACCCTGATTTTATTTTATTGTAGAAAATTGGATGCCCAGGTGAGGGCCGCCGTGGCCATGTACACAGAAGACTGGGTCATTGTTCACAGAAGGTGGGTCCACCTGGACTTAGAGCAGCTCCTAGGGGAGGGGGAACCTGAGGTTCAGAGGGCTATGCTATTGTTGATGGTTGGTCCCTATTTATCTGCCCACCTTCCCTTCCAAGGGTGACTGGATTTCTCCAGTAGAGCACTAGGAGGGCTGAAGGTTTTGTAGGTGTCCCAGGGAGTCTTCAACTTGCTACCTGCTTAGCCCTCCCCTCCTGCTAGGTATCAGCACCTGAGTCCATCATACAGCCCTGTTACCACAGACACACAGAGAGAGCAGCAGAAGGGCCTCACCTGCCAAGTCTTCGAGCAGGACGCCTCAGGGGACGAGAGGACAGGTCCAGAGGACATGGTGAGGGAACTCCTGGCTGGGTTTATTTATCGAGTGCTTAGTGTATACTAAAGGCTTTTTACTTGTGAGATCCCTTCATCCTGTGAGTCAGGGCAACAGCTATTATATCTACTTTGTAGATAGAGAAAATGAAGCACAGAACTTACATTGTCAGTCAGCATGTATGGAGCACCTACTGTATACCAACAGTCATTCTAAGTTACTCATATGGTTTCCATTGTTTCTTTTAGATGTAGGTTGGGGAGCACTGGGCATTTAGCTCAGTGGTAGAGTGCTTGTCTAGCAGGTGTGAGGCCCTGTGTTCAATCCTCAGCTATGGGGTTAGCAAAGCCCCCCCCAAAAAAAAAGATACACTAAGGAAACAAGATTTAGAAAGGGAAGCTGAGGCTCTGAGAGAGGGTCTGAGACTCCTAGTCACAGAGCTGAACTGGATTTGAATCACAGCCAACATACCCAGTGAGAACTACCTCCCCCCTGGCAACAGTGAGTAAAGTCCCAGGGAAGGTTCTGATTGGTCTAGCCAAAGTATGGCTTTACCTCCAAACCAAGCCCTGGGGCCAGAACTCCCCCTTCCCCCCGGCAGCAGTGCATAAAGTCCCCGGGAAGACTCCCGTTGGCCCCAGTAGAAAGATCACTTTCCCGGCAGCAGTGGACAAAGTCCCAGAGGCGCTCCTTGGTACCTGCCAGTCATATCTTTCCTCAGAGCCAACCCCAGTGGGAAGAAAGCTTCCCTCTCTGGGCAACAGCAAGTTCAGAACCAGGGAAGGTTTTCATTGGCTCAGACCAGGAATAGCCTAACCTGGGGGCTAAGCCTCACTGGGAAGAACTCACACCTGCCTTGGCAACAAGTGAACAAAGGCCCAAGGAAAGTCCTGATTGGACCAGCCGAGAAATGGCTTTACCTCAGAGCCAATCCATAGTGGGAAAAGCTCTTCTTTTCCCTGGCAACACATGAAAAAAGTCTCAGGGAAGGTTCTTGTTGCTCAGCCCAGTCTTTGGGACTGGCAGGTCAGCTAGATTTGATCTTGGTCAAAAGACCAAAGAAAGGTCACTGATAGTTACCGCCCACAGCAGTGGTAAAAGGCTCCCCTGATAGAAGAAGTCTTTCCAGAGGTTTGTGGAGAGGGCCAAACAAGCCCCTAAGTGACCCTTGTAGCAGTGATTCCACCCTGGCCTGCCTCTCACCTTCTCTGAGTATAGATAAGAAAGAACAAAGACAGTAGTACATCCAGTTGGCTCTCAGCACTTGCACATTCTTCATCGGTAGGATGATTCCCGGCACTGCTCGGGCTCCCCAGAGGACACCCCTCGAAGCAGCGGAGCCTCTGGCATTTTCAACCTAAGGAACTTGGCCGCTGACTCACTTCTGCCGTCCTTGCTGGAGCGGGCAGCCCCTGAGGACATGGACCAGCGTAATGAAGCCCTGCGGCGGCAGCACCGCACCCGTGCCCTGCTTACCCTATACCCTGCACCTGATGAGGTGGGTACTCACTGGCTCAGCCAACGTGCTAACCACCTACCGTATATGCCTACATTTATCTAGCCATTTATTTGTTTTTGTTTGTTTGGTTGGTTGGTCTTTTTTTGAGACAGGGTCTCCCTGTAGCCCCAGCTGTCCTGGAACTCACTATGTAGACCAGTGGACAGTTTGTAGCCACCATGTGGGTGCTGGGAATCACACCTGGGTCCTTTGCAAGAGCAGTCAGTGCTCTTAACCGCTGAGCTATCTCTCCAGCCCCTACAAGTGCTTTTTTTTATATACTGACATTTATCTAAACAAATTCGGTTGGTATCTACTGTATATCTCTTAGTGATTGGACCAGCTGCTCTATGTTTGCTACTGGGGGTATATAGCCTGGCTAGAAGGGAAGGAGGGCATTTCTGGCTGAGGAACAACAGCATGTGCCAAGATTCAGAGGCAAGGTGCTGAGAGAGGTTTGTCAGGCTTGGGGAGGTGTCTAGCTAATCTTGGGTCTGGCATTTTAGATCCTTCATAAAGGACCTATCCCAGCTGCCCCCTCTCTCCGCAGGATGAGGCTGTGGAACGCTGTACTTGCCCAGAGCCACCCCGGGAGCACTTTGGACAGAAGATCCTTGTGAAATGTCTGTCGCTCAAGTGAGTCATCATGTGGGTTCCTCTGTGCTATAGGCTGCATGACAGGTGTCCTGCTACCTGTGAGGCCACCGTGGACTACCCTCTCCATTTTCCAGAAGGCACAGGTGCCCCAAATGCTGGCATGTGCTGTGCCCCACATCCCTCTTCCTCTTTTCATTCAATCAGTCCCCGTCACTCACTGAGAGTTTCAGCCCTCTTCTCCTACTGACAGTTTTAGCTTAAATGTTTCCCTACTCCCTGGGAAGCTACTCTACACCCCCACCCCAGGCATCTCTCATCACAAGTCTTTGTGGTCCACTGCATGGTTCTGTGTCCTGCATACAACAGGCACTCAGTGAGTGTTTGTTGAATGATTATTTGAACCCACAGTCCTGATTCCCAACTCTTTGAGCTTGACACCCCTGTGGGAGAGAATAGAACTTCTGTTTCCTGCTCTGATCCAGACAGAAATGGGGTTGGTGAGGGGCAGGGCTGGGCCAGGCTCCAAGTCCACTTCCTGTTCACTTGTATTCCCATGAACTTCAGGCTGCTCCCAGGATGGAGGGTCCTTGGGAAGCTGTGGGCCAGACTCCACCCCCTTCCACCCTGGGTCCCAGCGGGAGGGCAGACAGGTACCAGAACCTGGTCTTAAAACTCTCATCTTTTTTTTTTTTTAAAAAATATTTTATTATTTAATGAGTAGGAGTGTATTGCTGGCATGTTTGTGAGTACACCCGTGTTGTACAATGCCACGGAGGTCAGAAGAGGGCTTTGGATTCCCCTAGAACTGGAGTTAAGGATGGTTCATAGCCGCCATGTGGGTGCTGGGAATTGAACCTGGGTCCTCTGCAAGAGCAGTCAGTGCTTTTAACTGCTGAGCCATCTCTCTGGCCCCAAAACTCTCATCTTAGTGGGCCTTGAGAGATGACTCAGTGGTTAAGAACACTGGCTGCCCTACAGAGGATCCAGGTTCTAATCCCAGCATCCACATGGTAGCTAACAACCATCTGTAATTCCAGTTCCAGGGGAATCAGATGCCTTCCTCTGACCTCTCAGGCACTGAACTACCTGGGTGTACCTACCTACATGCAAGCTATATACTCATACACATAAAAATAAAATATTTTTTTTAAACTCTTAGGCATAATACTTTTGGTGATCTGTACCTCAGTTTCTCTACTTACATCCACTTCACAGGCTTACAGGGAGATTAGATGAGTTAACATAGGCACAGCACTGCCTAAAATAGGAAAAAAGACTCTAGTGTCTCTGAAAATGTGGCTCAGTGGGCAGAATGCTTGCCTAGCATGCCAGAGGCCCTGGGTTCCTGGGATGGCCAATAACCATCCATCCGTAACTCTAGTTCTGGTCTCCATGGGCATTTCATGTATGTGGTACATTTACATACATGCAAGCAAAACACATATACATTAAAAAAATTTTTTAAAAAACAGTTTTTAAGAGCTAGAGAGTTTGCTCAGTGGTTAAGAGCACTGAGTGCTCTTGCAGAAGACCCAGGTTCAATTCCCAGTACCCACATGGTGGCTAACAGCCATCTGTAACTCTACTTCCAGGGAATCCAACACCCTCTTCTGACCTCTGTGGGCATTGCACACACATGGGTACACTTATATACATGCAGGCAATACACTCATACACATAAAATAAAGATGATAAAAAATTTTTAAAGTTTTTAAAAAAGAAAGAAAGAGGTGTAGGGTAGGTGGATGGCGGGGTCAAGAAGAGGTTCCCTCATTTGCTTACAGGTTTGAGATAGAAATTGAGCCGATCTTCGGCACCTTGGCCCTGTATGACGTTCGTGAGAAAAAGAAGGTAGACACTGCCTCACCTTCCTCTCCTCCTGCGTTCCCTCTTCCTCTTTGGTGGGAGGCTGTGGGCACCCTGGACATGGTGTCCTCTACTGCCGCTCATGTCCCCAGATTTCGGAAAATTTCTACTTTGATCTGAACTCGGACTCCATGAAAGGGATGCTCCGGGCCCATGGAACCCACCCTGCCATCTCCACCCTGGCCCGCTCTGCCATCTTTTCTGTGACCTACCCCTCTCCCGACATCTTCCTGGTTGTCAAGGTGCCTGTGGGGCCCTGCAGGGGGCGGGGATCATTGATGGTGGTCTGAGCCACAGGCTCTGCTTCTGGCTTCATAGAATGAGAACCAAGTATCCCCATGAAAGGGGAGCCCAGAGGAGGGAGACTCCTGACCTAACCTAGGTGTGTGTATGGGGCGAGGGGATTCATAGCAGGCTTCCAGGGACAGGTGACTGCTGGGCTGAGTCCCATCAGGAGGCTGCAGGCTGCAGACCAGAGCATGTCAGGCACACAAAACAGCACAAGGAGGCAGCTGAGAGCTTTGCCAAGTTGAAAGGTTTTTCTTTAGGCCTGGAAGTTAAAAGCGCTCAGTAGTTAAAAGCACTGGTTGCTCTTGCAAAGGATCCGGATTCAGTTCCCAGCACCCACAGGGCAGCTAACAGCTGCTGGTAACTCTAATTGAGGGGATCCAATATGCTCTTCTGACCTTCATGGGCATTGTACACACAGATGCACTTACATGCAGGCAATACACTCATACACATAAAAATAATAAAATTTTTTGAGGCAGGCATGGTGGTGCACGCCTTTAATCCCAGCAACCAGGAGGCAGGGACAGGCAGATCTCTGTGAGTTCAAGGCCAGCCTGGACTACAAAGTAAGTTTCAGACCAGCCCTATTACAGGGAGACCCTGTCTCAAAAAGACCAAAAAGAAAAAAATAATAAAATTTTTTAAAAAGACAAGTTTTTCTATATTATACTTATCAGTTATTTTGTTTATATATATAACCACATATGTAATATATAAACAAATAAATAACATATATAATATATATCTCTATATTAAGATGGCTTCTCACTATGCAGCTCTGGCTAGCCTAGAACTCACTATGTAGACCAAGCTGGCCTCAAACTCACAGAGATGAGCAGGCCTCTGCCTCCTGAGTGCTGGGATTAAAGGTGTGAGCTACCACACCTGGCTTTATTTTTAATTAAAATTTTTTTTTATTTTGTTACTATTATTATTATTACTATTTGGTCTTTTTGTGACAGGGTCTCCCTATCATGGCTTTTTAAATTTAATTTAATGTTTATTTTTTGAGATGGGACTTGGATAACCTGGAACGTCTCAGATAGCCCAGGCTGGCCTTAAACTCACATAGAACATCCTCCCTCTGTTGAAAATTTAAAAAAAAAAAATTTTTGAGGCAGAGCCTCATGTAACCCAGGCTGGTTCAAACTCATGGTACCTGAGGATGGTCTCGAACTCCTGTTACCGACTGAGGCATAGTCTCTGAAAATGTTTTCTAAGTTAAGACACTGATTTGTGTGGTGGTGTATGTTGGTCATCCTAGAACTCTGGAGGCTGAGGCACGAGGATTATGAGTTTGGGTTTTTTTTTTAAATTAATTTTTGTTTTGTCTTTTTGAGACAGGGTCTCCTGCAGACTCAAATGACCTGGGACTCACTATGTAGACCAGGCTGGACAGAGATCCACCTGCCTCCCAAGTGCTGAGATTACACACATACACCCTCATGCCTGGCCTTTTTTATTTTTCTAGGCAGGGTCTCACTATATAGCCTTGGTTGCCCTGGAACTCGCTATGTAGACCAGGGTAGCCTCAAACTCACAGAAATTCCCCTGCTGTTATCTCTCAAATTCTGGGATTAAGAGACTTTGTCTTTAAAACAGAAACTGGAGCTGGAGAGCTGGCTCAGTGGTTAAGAGCATTGACTGCTCGTTTGCAGAGGACCTGGATTTGGTCCCTAGCACCCACATGGCAGCTCACAACCATCTGTAACTCCAGTTCCAGGGGATCTGATGCCCTCTTCTGACCTCTGCAGGCATTGCACACACATGGTACACTAATATACATAAAGTAAAAAAATAAATTAAAAAAAATTTTTAGTCGGGTGTGGTGACACACACCTTTAATACCAGCACTAGGGAGGCAGAGGCAGGCAGATCTCTGTGAGTTCAAAGCCAGCCTGGTCTACATAGTGAATTCCAGGACAGCTGGGACTACAGGGAGACCTTGTCTCAAAAAGACCGAAAAAAAATTTTTTTTAAAGAGGAAAAATTTAAATGTTGAGAAAATATTCATAGATGAACTAGAGCTAGGGGTTTGAGACACACCTAAAAGTTGGCAGAATGCCGGGAACTCAATCCTAAGGACTGGGAGACACAGAAGGTGTTGGAGCAAGAGTTCCATGATGGGCTCAGAGGATAGTAAGCAGCAGAGTGCTTGCTGGGGCTTTGGGAGTCCAGGGTCCATCCCTAGTCTGATGATGAAATGTTGGAGGGGTCCCTCACTGGGCCCTCCTGCCTGCAGCTGGAGAAGGTGCTTGAACAGGGTGACATTAGTGACTGCTGCGAGCCCTACATGGTGATGAAGGAGATGGACATGGCGAAGGTAGGTCATAGGTGAGGGGAGACAGGGTGGGAGGAGCAAGTATCTAAGGGTGCGGAACTCGGACGTGTGCTGAGCTGCTCGGGTGGGTGTGTGTGGTTCTCCCACAGAACAGAGAGAAGCTGGACAAACTGCGCCTGGCAGCCGAGCAGTTCTGCACCCGACTGGGTCGGTACCGCATGCCCTTTGCTTGGACGGCAGTGCACTTGGCTAACATCGTGAGCAGCGCTGGCCAACAGGACCGTGATTCCGACTCTGAGGGCGGTGAGGACGCGTGCCACCTGCTGGCTGGTGGTGGCATTTTACCAGCCTCTCCCTCTGCCCATCCTCCTGCGAGGAGGCGCGCACCACCTACTGAGCGGTGGCGGCATTACACCTCCATCTCCATGTTGCCAACCCTTTTTCCTGTACCCTCGCTGCCACCTTCACCCTCTCTTCTAGAGCGTAGACCCACTTGGACTGAACGCCGCCGTCGGGGAACCCAGGATCGAGCCAGTAGTGGGGATGATGCCTGTAGCTTCTCTAGCTTCCGCCCGGCCACATTAACTGTCACCAACTTTTTTAAGCAGGTGATTTTGATTTAAAACAAGAGGCCTGGGAGGAAGGGTACCCAGAGTCTCAGCCTCTCGGCTCATGGGAAGCCTATCCCTTGCAGGAGGCTGAGCGGCTGAGTGATGAGGACCTTTTCAAGTTTCTGGCAGACATGCGGAGGCCGTCGTCCCTACTGAGGCGCCTGCGACCTGTGACTGGTGTGTGGAGCATCCTGTAAACCACAAGTGTCACTCACATAGTCATTTGACAAACCTCTGTTGAGGACCTATGGGGCTAGGCATTGGGAACCCAACCCTTGAGGCTTGGACAGGAAGTATAATAAATAGGCCAGCTATTGGGTTTTGTTCCAGATGGGTGCAGCCACCTCCAGTTAAGGAGAGGCAGTCCAGGCTAGGAGGCTCCCAGGCAGGTGAAAACAAAATTCTTTCTCCCCAGCTCAGCTCAAGATTGACATCTCTCCAGCTCCTGAAAACCCACACTTCTGCCTGTCCCCCGAGCTACTTCATGTCAAGCCCTACCCAGACCCCAGGGGACGGCCCACCAAGGAGATCCTGGAGTTCCCTGCCCGTGAGGTCTACACCCCTCACACTTCCTATAGGTACTGCCTCCTGGCCCAGTGGGCCTCAGAGGAGGCCCTCATTTGTGTGGCTCTCTGTGTGTTTGTTTACTCATGTATGTGCAAGTGCATGTGCACATGTGTGTGGAGACCAGAGGATAACCCCGGCCCTCAATCCTCAGGTGCTATTCACCTGTGGGGGTTTTTGTTTGTTTTTTTGAGACAAAGTCTCCCTGTAGCCCTAGCTGGTCTGGAACTCAGTGTGTAGATCAGGCTGGCCTCAATCTCACAGAGTTCTACCTGCCTCTGCCTCCCAACTTCTGGGATTAATGTATATGAGTGTTTTGCCTGCATGTATATCAGTGTACCTGTGTCATGCAATGCCCACCAATGGCAGAAGAGGGCCTCAGATCCCTTGGAACTGGAGTAAAGGACAGTTGTTAGCTGCCATGTGGGTGCTGGGAACTGAATCTGGGTCTTCTGTAGAGCAGCCAGTGCTCTTAACCACTGAGCCATCTCTCCAGCTCCTTTTCATTCATTATTTTAAAATATTTATTTGCTTATTTATTTATTTATTTATTTATTTATTTATTTTTGTCTTTTTGAAGCAGGGTCTCCCTGTAGCCCCAGCTGTCCTGGAACTCACTGTGTAGACCAGGCTGGCCATGAACTCATGCCTCCCCAGTGCTGGGACTGCAGGCGTGCACCACCAGGCCTGGCTTATTTTATTTATTTTTATGAATGTGTTTTGCCTGCATGTACGGAAGTATACCATGTGCATGCAATGCCTGTGGAGGCCAGAAAAGGGCTTCAGATTCCTGTGTACTGGAGTTATAGACAGTGGTAAGCCACTATGTGGATGCTGGGAACTGAACCCGGGCCTGCAAGAGCAGCACCAGCGCTTTTAACCACGGACCCATCTCTCTAGCACCTGTTATTATTTTTTGGGGGGGAGCATTTGAGATAGGGTCTCATTCTGTAATCATCGCTGGCTGGTCTGAAACTCACTATGTAGACCAGACTGTCTTTGAACTCAGAGAGATCCACCTGCCTCTGCCTCCTGAGTGCTGGGATTAAAGGTGTACACACCACCATGCCTGGCCTATTTTTATTATTTTTAATTATGTATATGACTACATCTAAGGGGGCTGGTGCCCACAGAGCTAGAAGCATTGGATCCCCTGAAGCTGGAGTTATAGGTGGTCTTAAGCCCATGACATAGGTGCTGGGAATTAAACTTAGGTCCTCTGTAAGAGCAATATGCCACCAAGGACTAGTCATGCTACAAGGGACACTTAACATGCTGCACACTGAGCAATCTCTCTAGACACCCACCTTTTTTTTCCATACAGTGTTTATTATTAGCCTGGAACTTGCCAGATAGACCAGGCTGGCTAGGGAGCCACCTGTCTGCATCTCAGCACTGGGATTACAAGTGCACATACCCCACTCTTTATGTGGGTGCTGGGAATCAAACTCAAGTCCTGATTTGTCTGACAAGTACTGCACTGAATGAGCTGTCTCCCCAATCACTGCCTCATCTTTCTTCTTCCTCTCCTCTATCCCTCCCTTTCTCTTTCTCTGTCTTTCTTTCTCTTTCTCTCTTCCTTCTCTCTCTCTTTTTTTAAGACAGGATCTCCCCGTAGCCCCAGGCTGGCCTGAAATGTAGACCAGGCTGACTAGATCCACCCACCTCTGCCTCCAGAGTGCTAGGATTAAAAGTGTGTGCTACTATACTACTTCCTCTTCCTCCCTCTCTCCCTCCCTCCCTCCCTCCCTCCCTCCCTCCCTCCCTCTCTTCCTTTATAACAAAGTCTCATGTGGCCCAGGCTGGTCTTGAACATGCTGTGTAGCCAAGGATGACCCTGAACTCCTGATCCTCCAGCCTCTGCCTCCTGAGTGCTGGGATGACTGATGTATGCTGCCATACTTGGTTTATGTGGTGCTGGGAATGGAACCCAGGGCTTGTGTGTGCTACCCAAGCACTCCACCCACTGAACCCCAGCTGTAGCCCAGGCCCCTGTCATTCTTATAGACACACAGACAGACATCCCACATCAGTTGCTTCTGTTGTGTTTTATTGTGGGGTATGGGGAACTCAAAGGGACTCATGTCCTCTCCCCAGCCCTCCTCCATGGGGCTCTGTTTCTTCCTTGCATCCTTCCTGTCTTTCTTTCTGTCTCTGCTCTGTGGCAGGAAGCTCTGTGTCCTGGCCAACCCAGACAGCTCTGCCCTATGCAGGGCCATGTGAGCATGTTTAGTGTCCCTTGCAGCATCACTGGTCCTCGGTGGCATATAGGCAGTCTCAGGCCGGGAGAGCTGCTGTGTGGAGTCTGTAGAGGAACATGGAGTTCAGTCAAGGCTGGGGTGGGAGGGGTGGGAGGCTCCTTCCAGCAGCCCTATGCACCCTCCACCCAGATACCCCCATGTCAGAGTCAGAATCACCTCTCCTGGATCTGTCGCAGCCACTGTTGTTGCTCTGCCATCTTCTTCCTCTGCCGTTGCACATGACCAGTGAGAGCCCACAGGAGGTGACTCTGCTTGTCAGCTCGTGTCTGTGGGAACAATGAGCAGACCTCAGCCAAGGGATCCAGTTCACCTCCCATTCCCCTAACCCCTTTCAGGCTTCCCTGTTGAAATTTGTATGACCCAGCAAGTCCCCAACACCCTCTGGCCTCACTTTCTCCATTTGTAAAGTGAATTTAAGATAGGATGCAAAGGGGCATCAAATAGTACTTACTGGGGGCTTGATAAAAGGCACCAGATACCATGCTAATAAACACTGTACAGTGCCTGTCCATTTTCAGGCCCCGGTGTTGCTCTGAAGTAACTGTTGCTGCACTTGTTTTAGTTTTATTTATTTATGTGTATGAGTTTTGCCTGCATGTATATAAGTGCACCATGTGCATGTAATGCCCATGGAGGTCAGGGGAGGGCATCGGATTCCCTGGAACTGGAGCTAGGGATGGTTGTTAGCCTCCATGTGGGTGCTGGGATCAAAACTCAGGTCCTCTGCAAGAGCAGCATGTGTTCCAGCCCCATTTATTTTATTTTATTTTATTTTAAATTTTACTTTGTTTATTGTGTATGTACCATAGCATACGTGTGGAGGTCAGGGGACAAATTGCAGGAGTCAGTTCTCTCCTTCCACCACATGGGTCCCAGGGATTGAACTCAGGTCCTGAGACTTGACTGCAAGTGCCTTTACCCACTGAGCTGAACCTGTCATTTCTCATTTACTGAACCTGTCATTTATTTACTTACTTATTTTTATTTTTGGTCTTTTTGAGACAGGGTCTCCCTATAGTCCCAGCTGGCCTGGAACTTGCTTATGTAGACCAGGCTGGCCTCAGCCTCACAGAGATCCTACCGCTTCTGCGTCCTGAGTACTGGGACTAAAGGCGTGCTTCACCGTGCCCAGCTCTTATTTATTTTTGAGACAGGATTTCATGTAGTTCAGGATTGTCTCAAACTTGCTATATAGCCACAGGTGGCCTTGAACTCCTGATCCTCCTGCCTTTACTTCCCAAGTGCTGGAATCACCAGGTTTTTGTCCTTATTTGCAAATGGGAAACTAAGGCATGGAAAGGGTCACTCACAGTAGAAGGCCATGGACAACTAGGAGGCCCCTGTAGCTCAGGATTCACAGACTGGTTCAGTCTAACCCCTCTCAGGCCTGGGACCCCTTACCTTTAAAGTCTCAAATTCTTGGTCTGCCTGGCCCAGCCAGGCACCTCTTAGTTGGACTTCTAGTCTCCGCAGTGTGTCCTGTAGAACCTTCTGGGCCCAGGCCACCTCCCCAAGCTGTCGGGCTGTGGCCTCTGTGCTTATGTGTAAAGCGTCCTCTTCCATCTGCTCAATAGATAGTATCACATTAGTGGGGTTGCCAGCTCGTTGGTTTATTGCTCTTTCTCTGGTCTAAGCTAACCAGGGCACTAGGACACCCCTGGGCTTGAACTCTTTTCCTCAGACTCCTATCCATCCAACAACACCCCAGTCCATTGCCTACCTGCATCTCTGACAAACTGATTCGAAGTTCCCGTGTTGCATCCCGGCCCTGGCTGACTTTTGTGCCCAGGAGTCCCAGCGCTCTATCAAAGAGACCCAGGCTGTGCCCAGCCTCCGTCAGCTGCGCCTCAGTGGCCCTATACACGCTGTTGAGGGCCTGGCCCAGCTGCAGAGCACCATGGAAGAGCAGGGTTAACTCTTCATATTGTGCTGGCTCCGGGCCACCTAGAGGGGCCGCTGGGGCAGGTCGGATGGCTGATGCCAAGGCCCACAGGAGGTAGAGAGCGAATGCAGCCATGGCTGAAGGTCTTGGGGGTGTGGTATCTGGGCCACTGTTGGCCACCTTTTATGTCACCAGGTTGTCATTAACCTCCCTTGTCAATGATTAACTGGCTGCCCTTGCACAAGGGCCTGGCTGAGGTTCAGCAGTTGCATCAGGCTGATGGATAAGCAGGCCATGCTGGTGTCATGCTGACTGGGGCTCAGGGCCAGCTGGGGGGTGGGGGTCTGGGGGAACATAGATCTCAGGACAGGGTTCTATGAGGACTGAAGCAGTGCATTCAGCCTGAGTTTCCCTACAGGGGTCTCTACACACCTGACAACAGCATGGTCGAAGCTTGTACCGTGACACCTCTGAACCACCAAGGGTCCACCTGAGCAAGTCAGATCTTTATGCCACTATTTACCTGTAACTATTCTAGGCCCTGTGTGGAATCTGGTCTCCTTGTTCTTTTCCCACAAGCTTGTAATGATTGGGTCTCTCTGCCTGGTTGACAGCTAGAAAGGATAGGGAAGAAGTCCCTTCCTGGGGCAACAGAGCCTGCCCCCCAGCTCAGTACTAACTACCATTTGACTTCCTAGATAACTGAGGGCAAAATCCTCAATTTTCCTGCCTGGAGGAGGCGTCCCACATGTGGTAATAAGCATTTATTGAGCACCTGCTGTGTGTACTGCCCCTGCAACAGGTCCCTGGCTCCTCTGTGAAATTGCAGTCATTACCCTCACTTGCAGATAGGAAGTAATAAGTAAACCCCACATGGTGGCTCAGGTCTGTCATTCCAGGACTAGGGAGGCTGAAGCAGGAGGATCTTGGGTTTGATGCCAGCCTGGGCTACAGAGTTAGACCCTGTCTCAAGAAAACAAGGGCTTGGGGTAAAACTTGGGGGTGGAATGCTCACCTAGCATGTACCAGGCTTTGGGTTCCATCCCCAGCATCACAGAAAACTGTCATGAAGTTTTGCAAATTGAGTGCTTGGAATGGTCCTTTGCATCCAGTCACTGCCCTATAAGTGTATGCTGTGATGATTGACATTATGGTTGTCAATCGTAGGTATTGTGTTCAAAGGCTAAGTTGACAGAGCAACTGAGGCTCAGAAGGAAGAGGTTGAGGCTTGTGCAGTTACTGCTGGGGGAAAGAGAGACAGGGCCTGGACCCCAGATTCTGACTCTGTCTCTACCTGAGAGGCAGGTCCCATAATTCCAATGGGTGGACAAGGTGGAAGTTGGGGCAGAGGACAATCATGCCCCAGGGCCACCTTTTTTTTTTTCTTTTTAGAGACAGTTACTCCCTGTAGCTCAGGCCAGCTTCCATCTCACAGAAATTTGCCTGCCTCCAGAGTGATAGGAGTAAAGGCATGCACCACTATGCCTGGCTAGTACCTGGCTGGTTCTTTCTGGCACCCCAACCTCTCCAGAGGTTCCTCTGACACCCCCATTTCCCATCCCTCCAGGAATCTCCTGTTTGTGTACCCACACAGACTCAACTTCAGCAGCCGCCAGGGCTCTGTGCGCAACCTGGCCGTGCGGATCCAATACATGGCTGGTGAGGATCAGAGCCAGGCCCTTCCGGTGAGTGATGGTGCCCTGGAGAGAAGGGGTCAAGGCAGGGCTGGGATGTTCCCAGCAGGGCTCTCATATTCCCCACTCCCTCAGGTCATCTTTGGGAAATCTAGCTGCAGTGAGTTCACCCGTGAGGCCTTCACACCAGTGGTCTACCATAACAAGTAGGCAGGATTGGGACTCGGGAACATGGAAGGACCCTGGAGGTGTTCAGGGTTGTGGGACAGTTGGGAGATGTGTAGGCATGGGAGCAGGAAGAAGGGGGTCATGGGTCCTGGGGGTGCAAATGAGATAACTTGATGCGGGGTGTCATCTTGTGGGATTCTAGCTCCATAGCTGGCCCCTTACCCCTTGGCTCTGTCCTATCAGGTCCCCTGAATTCTATGAAGAATTCAAGCTGAGACTTCCTGCTTGCATGACTGACAACCATCACCTCTTTTTTACATTCTACCACATCAGCTGCCAGCCTCGGCCGGGCATGGCCCTGGAGACACCTGTGGGCTTCACTGTGAGCCACAGTCACCCCCATAGCCTCCTCCCCTGTCCCCATTCCTTAGGGAACCCTGGCCATACCTCATCCTTGTTCATCCATCCTCTCCCTAGTGGATCCCATTACTCCAACATGGCTGCCTGAGGACCGGTCCCTTCTGCCTGCCCGTGTCTGTGGACCAGCCTCCACCCAGCTACTCTGTGCTCACCCCTGATGTACGTACCTGAGCTCCCCAACTCTGATACCCTCATTGCCCCTAAATGCATTGCTCTCATGGGCCCTTTGCAGCTTCCTGCCCGACTTTCCTCTATGTCCCTGGAAGGCTTGCTGGCCTTTACGGACCTCTGGGTCCCCTTGAGCTACCTGCCCACCCTGCTAGGATGCTTCTGTGGGCTACTGCACCCGGCATGTCCCTTCCTGTACTCCAGCTAGCTAGCCCTTGCCTCTCTCTCACTGTCCCCCTCTAAGGGATCCTCTCTGGTTATTAGCACCAGTCCTTTGTGATTTTTTTTTTTTTTTGTCTTTTTTTTGAGACAGGGTCTCCCTGTAGCCCCAGCTGTCCTGGAACTCACTATGTAGACCAGGCTGGCCTTGAACTCACAGAGATCTGCCTGCCTCTGCCTCCTGAGTGCTGGGATTAAAGGTGTGCGCCACCACACCCAGCTTTTTCCTTTTTTGAGGCAGGGTCTCATATAGCTCAGGCAGGCCTCAAATTCTATACAGATGACGTTGACCTTGAACTCTTGATCCTTGCCTCTGCCTCCCAAGTGCTAGGACAACAGGCATACACCATGATACCTGGCTTTCCCTCTATAATGTTTGCTTCCTCATTAACCCCATTATACCACCTCTGTCCCCCTTCCCCTCCACTACCTCATGAATGCCCCTGTGGTCTCAGGTTCCCCCCCATGAATGCTATTCCTAAGTCATTGCTTTTTCTGGTTCATGTTCACACCCCATTTTCTGCTTACCCCCCATGAGCATGTGGTTTCCAGCCTATCCTTGGGGTCTTCCTTTACCCTCTGGGAATGGACTAGGGAGCGGGTACCCAGCTACTCCCTCAGGCTGGGCCACAATCTGACCATGGTGTTGCAATTATGACCAGGGCCACGGCCTGGCCTGGTGGCCTGATGCCTGGGGGACGGTCAGTCCATGCCCATCCCACTTCTCTTTCCCGCAGGTGGCACTGCCGGGCATGCGCTGGGTGGACGGTCACAAGGGTGTGTTCAGTGTGGAGCTCACAGCCGCATCATCTGTGCACCCCCAGGTACAGCGTGGGATGGGAACCCAAGACCTCCTGGCCCTTTCCCCTTCTGTTACCCTGAGATTGAGTAAGACTGGCAGCTGGCTATGGAAGGGCTGGCCTGGAGCCATTGGACGTGACTTCGTCCATCTGACCCACAGTGCTAACTCAGGTGGAGGGGGTGGCCTCCAACCCCTGTCCCCTGAGCTCTCATGTCCTCCCTTTTACCCAGGACCCCCACTTGGATAGGTTCTTCACCCTGGTACATGTTCTCGAAGAAGGGTCCTTTCCATTCCGCCTCAAGGATACAGTGCTGAGCGAGGGCACCATGGAGCAGGAGCTACGGGCCAGCCTGACTGCGCTGCGCCTCGCTAGCCCTGAGCCTCTTGTGGCCTTTTCCCACCATGTCCTTGACAAGCTGGTCCACTTGGTTGTGCGCCCCCCCATCATCACTGGCCAGATAGGTGAGCCTGTGTGTCCTCTGGCCTCAAAGAGCCCCCCCCCCAATTTCCTACCCCTGAGTTTTTTCCTATAGTTGATTTGTTTCTCTGACCTCTGTTTCCCCATATGAAAAATGTCCCCCAGGCCCCCTGAACCCCAGAGCAGGTCCTTTAAGATCCCCAGTGAGCCCTTGTACCCTTGTGTCCCCTTCTCTGGAAGGTGACTGAGAAGGTGAGAGGCCTTGCATTATGGAACTTGACCTCTGCTCCTCTTCTCTGCCCAACAGTGAACCTGGGCCGGGGGGCCTTTGAAGCCATGGCTCATGTAGCCAGCCTTGTGCATCGGAGCCTGGAGGCCGTCCAGGATTCTCGTGGTCACTGTCCACTGCTGGCTGCCTATGTCCACTATGCCTTTCGTCTTCCTGGTGGTGAACTTAGCCTGCCAGGCGGTATGTGTTGGCTGGGAACCTTGGGAGATGGGCAAAGCACATCAGGTGAAAGCAAACAGCATGTACAAAGGCCTGGGGTCTTACAGACTGGCTTAGGTGACTTGCAAGACAGATAACACTTCACCCACTTTGGCTGCAGCCCCAGAGGTGTGGTTTCGAAAAATTTTTTGTTTATTTTTATTTTTTGATTTTGTATATGAGTATATTGCTTGCGTGTATGTAAGTGCACCCATGTCATGAAATGCCTGTGGAGATCAGAAGAGGGCATTGAATTCCCGGAACTGAAATTATGGATGGTTGTTAGCCGCCATGTGGGTGTTAGGAATCAAACCCCAGTCTTCTGCGAGAGCAGCCAGTGCTCTTAACTGCTGAGCCATCTCTCCAGCCCCAAGATGTGGTTTCTCCAGTCCCGATGCATGGTTTCTATATACTAGACTGCCAGCTTATTCAGCCAGTCAGCAGGAAGCTGAGAAGAGGGCTTCAAGCTGCGCTGCCTGTTGTTTTTTTGGTTTTAGGGTTTGTTTTTGTTTGTTTGTTTGCTTGCTTGCTTTTGAGATAGGGTCTCCCTGTAGCCCCAGCTGACCTATGTAGACCAGGCTTGTCTTGAACTCACAGAGATCCAACTGCCTCTGCCTTCCAAGCTCTGGGATCAAAGGTGTGTGCCACCATGCCTGGCAGCTGCCTGGTTTTGAGTACTGTTCTATTGGCTAGAAGCTGTGTGACCCTGGGCAAATGCCTTCCCCTCTGAACATGTTTCCCATTTCTAAACTGGGATAATAATGCTGTCTACCTCACAAAGACACTGGTAGTGAGAAGTGACAGCCATCTTTGTAAAGTTCTTTAGACATAGTGAGCATTCAACAAAATCGGTTTTATTAGCTAGGTGTGGTGGGTGCACACTTTTTACACTTTAATCCCAGCACTGGGAGGCAGAGGCAGGGGAATCTATATGAGTTCAAGGCCAGCCTGGTCTGCATAGCAAGTTCCAGGCCAGCTGTGGCTATAGGGAAACCCTGTCTCAAAAATAAAAAAATAAAAAAGTGGTTTTGGCAAGGCCTGAGCTCAGTGGTAAAGCACTTGCCTAGTGTACCTGAGGTACTGGGTGTGAGTTCCAGCACCAGAAAGAAAGAAAAGGGGAGACCAGAAAGGGAGGGAGGGAAGGAGGAAGGGTGCGAGGAGGGAGGGAGGGAGGAAAGAAAGAGGGAGGAGGTAAGGAGGAATGGAAGGAAGAGGAAAAGAAGGAGGGAGGGAAGAGGGAGACGGGGGGGGGGTAGAAAGGGAAGGGAGAAGGGAGGAAGGAAGGATTTTGGGCTGTGAGTGTGGCTCATTGGTACCTTGGATTTCATTCCCAGCCCTGAAAGAAAAGAAAATTGGATCTTTTCCCCAATTAGTAGATAAATAATAATGCTGCAAAATGCCTACATCCCAGGCTTTGCTGTACATTCTCTCTGCTCATTCTCAAAGCTGCTGTCCAGCAAGGCCATGGTAGCTCAGAATTGAGCCATTTCACCTGGATTGTGGGTTGAGCGGGATGGACCCATCCAGGCAGGTGATGCTCATCCTGTGCCCGGCATCCTAGGGGCCTCTCTGGCTACTCTGCAGCCAGCCACACTGGCTCGCAGCTCTGGCCGCCCTGCAAGCCTCTACCTGACACGTTCTAAGAGCATCAGTAGCAGCAACCCTGACCTGGCCGTGGCCCCTGGCTCCGTGGACGATGAGGTAGCCCGCATCCTAGCCAGCAAGGTAGGATTCGGGGGCTGGCACCCTCCAACCTCCCCTACCTGGAACCCTAGCCTCCCAGGCCTGTCTGCCCAGTGGGCGGGTGAAGACTCTCCATGTTGAAGGGGCTGGTAAACCAGAGGGCACCACCTGGAAGAAGGTCAGTCCTGCTGCATGAGAAGGCTACAGCTGTCTCCCTTGCAGAGCTGTGGAGTTCTGCATTCCATGGTTGATGGATGATAGGGACAAGGGCCTGTTTCAACAAAAAGTATGGTGTACATGGTGCAGCAGGTATGCACATGTGCACAGGTATGTCTATGCATGTGCTCCATGCACAGATGTATAAAGATGTGTATACATATATGCAGCTGGTATGCATACACGTATATACACATATATCCCATGCACACATATATAGGGTGCATATACACATATACCCTATGCACACACATAGATGCATATACACACATTCCTGATGCACACATACACACAATTACCCCATGTGCACACAAACAGATTCCCCATGCACACATGTACACAGGTGCATGTATACACATTCCCCGTGAACACATGTACACATGTGCATATAGATATTCCCTGTGTACACAGGTACATGTGTGCATATGCAACCAGTACAGAGGTACATTTACACACATTCCCCATGCACACATGTACATAGGTCTATATATACACATTCCCATGAATACATGTGCATATACACATGTTCCTCATGTGCACTTATGCACAGGTACATATGTACACATCCCCATGCACACACACACATACATAAGTGCACGTATACACATTCCCTATGCACGAGGGTATCCATGTAAATGCACACAAATTATCCACGCACAAACATTCATGGTGTATATGCACCCCACACACAAATTCACAGTGCATGTGCACACATTCCCCACACACATGGGTACACTGTGTATACACACACATTCTCCATGCACACAGGTGCATGGGTACACATATATGTTTCCTATGCACATAAGCATACTGTGCATATGCATATCTTCCCCACACACATGATTACATGGTATATATGCACATACCCACAGTGCTGTGTACTTAGCTATATATATTCCATCTTCACATGTACATAGTACATGTCCTCATGTCCCGTGTGCACATGCATCCCTGAACATACATACACATACTCTACCTGCTTCTGTGTGGGTTCATGTCCAAAGGCCTTCCAGGCAGTGACCCACTGCATGAGTGCATGCCCACAGCACATTTCCCAGGACTGTGCAGGAGCACACATGGCATGCATGTGGTTCAGGGCAGTGCCTACACTTGACATCCTGTCTCTCCTTTGTAGTGTTTGGTCCAGGGCATCACCCCTTCTCTGTGTGTCTCCAGGGCGTCGATCGCTCACACTCCTGGGTGAATTCTGCTTATGCTCCTGGAGGCAGCAAGGCTGTGCTGAGGCGGATACCCCCTTACTGTGGGGCTGACCCCAGACAGGTGCCTCTGTCCCTGCATCTGCATGTGTGTGACATCACCTCTGCATGAGCTGCTGCCCCCTTCCTGGCTACAATAAACTAACCCTGGCGGCTGTCTGAGAGACCCCTTATATCCTGCCTCATTGGGGCTGTGAAGGTCTCTGTAGAGAGATCACCCAGCATGCACAAAGTTCCATCCCCAGAACTGCAAAGCCAGGCGTACAGGCTAAATATGCTTTACCATGAGCTGCACTGATTTTTGTTGTTTTGTTGTTGTTTTTTTGAGACAGGGTCTCTCTGTAGCCCTGGCTGGCCTGGAACTTGCTATGTAGACCAGGCTAGCCTCTATCTCACAGCAATCCACCTGCCTCTGCCTCCTGGGTGCTGGGACTAAAAGCATGGGCCACCACACCCAGCTTCCCAGCATTGTTTTTTGATACAGGGCCTCACTGTAGCCCAGGCCAGCCTAATGGTTATGTAGCCAAGGATGACCTTGAACTTTTGATCTTCCTGCTTCCACCTTCAACTGCTAGGACTACCAGTGTGCACCACCAGGCTATGTTTACGGGGTGCCAACATGCCCAGCCTTTCTTCTTAATCTGAATTTGACTTTCTGGTAGTGCTGGGGATGAATCCCAGTGCCTCATGCATGCTACAAAGTGCTCTGCTACTGATCCACACCCCAGCCGTGCAGTGGCGTTTTCACCAGGGTCTTTACTCCTCAGTTTACTGAAGAGTCAGCTAAGCCTTGGAGAGCCACTAGGAAGAGTGACTCAGTAATGGTGGGGTGCTATCCCAGGCAGGAGGTGGCAGGAAGGCCAGTCTGCAGTGTGTGACCCGTCCATTTTACACATGCTGATCAGGGTATGGCTAGGACCATGGGAGCTACATATATACAGGTTCCAGGGAATGAGCTAATTTCATCACTGGACCACCTTTCCTGGCCAGTAAATGAGGCATGGACAGTGAAGCTTGAACTGCCTCCCTGTCCCCATTTCATCGATGGGGATGCTGAGGCCCAGGGAGGTACTGAGCCAGGCTGAGGCAGAGGGTGCCAGGCTGGAATCCAGAGCGCACAGCACCATGCCGCCTTCTCTGTCTTAGCTTCCTTTTCCCTCTCCTCTGCCCACATTCATGGCCTGGGCCTGTGGTCCTTTCTGTTCAACTCCATGCCCAGTCATCTCCTGTGGTCACAAACTTCTTCAAGCCACTGGCCAGCCTTTGTGTGTGCTCCTCCCTCCCAGGCTGACCTCTGCCCTCCGTCATCTTCATCATCTCTTCATCTGTGCCACCTCCCTCATCTTCACCCCTCCCTTGCTTTGCCACCACATCCACAGGCCTTTTTCTTTTGCATTTTCCCCCCTGGATGTTGGGGATGGAACTTGGGGCCTTGCACTACCCCCGAAGCACATCCCCAACCCTTTATTTATTTATTTGTTTGTTTGTTTGTGTGGAAGGAGAATGGGGTCAGAGGACAATTTTCAGGAGTTAGTTCTCTCCTTCTACCATATGGTCTTGGGGATTGAACTCAGGTCATCAGGCTTGGCAGCAAGCCCCTTTATCTGTTGAGCCACCTTGCTGGTGTTATTTCAATTTTCTATTTATTTTTAAAAGTTACCAGTGTGTGTGTGTGTGTGTGTGTGTGTGTGTGTGTGTGTGTGCGCGCGCGCCTGTTTGTGTGTGTGTCTGTGTCTGTGTGCCTGTGTGTGTGTATGTGTGTGTGCCTGTGTGTGTGCGCATGTGTGTGTGTGTGTGTGTGTGCCTGTGCGCGCGCGCACGCGCGCGCGCGCGCGCGTGTGTGCGTGCATGCGCGCATGTGCTGGCATCAGCTTCAGGTGTTATTGTTTATAAGACTTTTTTTTTTTTTTTTTGTCTTTTTTGAAACAGGGTCTCCCTGTGGCCGTAGCTGACCTAAACTTGATGTGTAGACCAGATTGGCCTCATTCTTACAGGGCTTTGGCCTTCCTCTGCCTCCTGAGTGATGGGATTAAAGACTTGTATCACACATCACTGTGCCTGGCCTTGTTGGTTTTGTTTTGTTTTGTTTTGTTTTTGAGACAGAGTCTCTCACTAGAGCCTGGAGCTCACAGATTAGGCTAGGCTGACTGACCAGTGAACTCCATGGTCTCTTTGAGACAGGGTCTCCCTGTAGCCCCAGCTGTCCTGGAACTCACTATGTAGACCAGGCTGGCCTTGAACTCACAGAGATCCGTCTCCCTCTGCCTCCTGAGTGCTGGATTTCAGGTGTGTGCCACCACATTCCCTGATCTATCTTCTCCGTCTTTGTCTGTCTTTCCCCCTATCTCTGTCTTACCTTCTCTTTTTCTTTCTCCTCTCACATTCTCTTCTCCTCCGTCCCTTTCTCCTTCCCTCTTCCTTTCTTCTGTCTCTTTTCCTCCCTCCCTCCTTCCCCTTCCTCTTCCCTTCCTTTCCTTTATTGTGAGACAAGTTGTCCTATGATGTGGAACTCACAATCTTCCTGCCTCAGCATCCCTACTCCTGGGATTTTGGGTGTGTTCCCTCATGCCTGCCTTCCTCTGTGTCTTCCTACAAAGCCACTAATACCATCATGGGGCCCCACCCTCATGACCCCAATAGTCCTAATCCCCTACAAAGGTCCCACCCTCAGATGCCATCAATAAGGCTTTGGGGAATCAAATACCCAACACTAAGCCTTTCATCCTAGCACTTGGGAGGTAAAGGCAGGAGCATCAGGAATTTAAGGCCAGTCTTGGCTACATAGTGAATTGGAGGCCAGCCTGGGCTACATGAGATCCTGTCTTTAAAAAAAAAAAAAAAAAAAAAAACCACCAAAAAACAGAATTTCTAATGTGAGTGAACTTTCAGGAGATGCACTTAAACCATAGCCTGAGCTCCGAGGACTGTTTCCTTCCATGTTCATGCCAACTCATCTCTCCCCAACCCACATCCACATGGACAGGTCTGTCCTCCATCTGAACTGTCTCATCTCTACCATCCATATCACTAACTCACTTCACCATCGCATGCTGTCCACCCCATCCCATCCTAGGCCATCGACTGCAACTCTAGCCGTGCCTCCTCCTACCTTGAGGCCTCCTCCTCAGCCTCGATGACCCCCCAGCCAAGACCCACTATACCAAAGGTAGTAGGGGGAGAGGGTGGCTGATCCCATGTGCACCCCTGCTTCCCCATGGCAAAAGGGTCTAGGGCTCCTCCCCACATACAAAGCCCAGCAGAGGCTGGAGATCACACTGGTCCTGCTCCTGCATGGCTGCCTGTTGCTCAGACCCCATCCCAGGCTTGGGGCTGCATCCCTTGTGTCATGCTTTCTGGAGGGTTTGTGGGTTGGGTGTACATGGCCCTTGGTAACCCCCAACCCTGCCCGCAGCTCCTGCATGAGGAGCTGGCTCTGCAGTGGGTGGTGAGTGGGAGCACTGTACGAGAGATGGTCCTGCAGCACGCCTGGTTCTTCTTCCAGCTCATGGTGAGGACCCCACACCCTCAATCCAGGGAGACCTCATATTGTACCTGAGAACCCGAAGAAATGGTCTCTAGACTCTTCAAATGATAGGCCAAGCATGCGGCGTGTGCCTTTAATCCTAGCACTCAGGAAGCAGGGGCAGGAGGATCTCCGTGAGATTGGGCCAGCCTGGACTACATAGCAAGTTCAAGGCTGGCTGGGGCTGCAGGGAGACCCTGTCTCCAAAAAGAGAAAGTGGTGGTGGACAGGCAAACATTTAAGGGGATGGCTCCCTGGAGCCCCTGACACTGATGCTGCCTTTCTTGAGAGAACACCTGGACCCAGAGAAGGGGCACTTCTTCCAAGAGACATTTCCACATACTGACATCAGGCTTGAACCTCCCAAATTCCTTTAAGAAACACCTTGATGTCACCTTTTCCAGTACCTGCTGGTCCTTTCTCTGCCAGGCCCCCTGATGAAGTCCAGATTCCTCAAACTCGGCCCCTTAGGGGCTGGGCCAGTGGCTCCATCAGTGCTTGCCACACAATCCTGAGGACCCCAGAATTTGTGAAGATGTAAAGGCTAGGTGTGGGGCATACCTATAATCCCAGCACTAGGGAAGTGGAGACAGGATGATCCCTGGAACTCCCTGGCCAGCCAACCTAGTGAAATCAAGGTCCTCCAGGCCCCAATGACAAAAACTGTACAAGAGGGGGTTAGGCATGGTGGTGCATGCCTTTAATCCCTGCATTCAGGAGGCAGAGGCAAGAGAATCTCTGAGTTCAAGGCCAGCCTTGCCTACATAGTGAAGTTCCAGGTCAGTTGGGGCTACATAATGAGACCGTCTCAAAAAAATCCCCAAAATCCCCAAGAGGTAGACACCTCTGGCCTCCACATGCAACTGTCTCACACAGACACCTCATGCTTACAAAACATAGAGCTTGAGGTTCCACTGTCAGCCTGGCACCACCCAAGTCCCTCCTACCCCTCCCACTCATCAAGCCCTGCCCACATGACTCAAGCTCCTCCCATGGCCCTCCAGCTCTGCCCATGTGTATTAAGCTCCTCCCTCAGCCCTCAAGCCCCAACCCTTCAACTACAACTCCTGAGCTCAAGCCTTTTTAAAAAATATTTTTATTGAATTTTCGTATATTTCATACAGAACATCTTAATCATCTTTATATCCCCTTCCCCATTGGCCCCCTCTCATAGCTCCCCCCACTGGAATTCATACATTCTGTCACTTGTGTTAAGGCCTATCATGTCAAGTTAGTGTCCCCAGATGTCCCTCAGTGCAAGTTCATCCACCGAGGTCTAGTCAGCCTGTCTAGAATCCCTCCCTTTAAGAGCAGCCCTGTTCTTATGCCCTCTGTTCTTGCCTTTAAAGCCCTGCCTGTCACTCCAGCACCCCATTTCCCCTGAAGCCCTGCCTACATATCTTAAGTTGCTCCCTGCCACTTTGAACCTCCAGTTACTAGGCTCAGGTCCTCCTTCCTCACCACCAAAGCCCCGACCATTCTGCCAGCTCTCCACAGCCCTCAAGCTATGTCCATGTCCCCAGAGCTCCACTCATGGCCCTCAAGCCACACTCCTGCCCATTTGGCTTATCCTCAGGTGAAAAGCATGCAACTGCACCTGATTCTGAGCCAGCGCCTGAACACACCCCGAAAACTGCGCTTTCCTGGGCGCTTCCTGGATGACATCTCAGCCTTGGTGGGCTCTGTGGGTCTAGAGGTCATCACACGGGTCCACAAGGTGAGGAGGGACTTGGGGCCTCCAGAAAGAAGTGGCCTAAGAAAAGGGGAAACAGCCAGGTGGGTAGACACCAGTGCTGTAGGAAGAGATGCAGTTTGCCGTGAGGGTCTGTTCATGGTCTCTTAGTATTATTTTTTAACTTTTTGTGATTTATTTATTTTAATTTATTTGTATGAGTGTTCTGCCTGCTGGCATGTATGTAAGTGCACCACATGTGTGATGTGCTGTCAGAGGCCTGAAGAGGGCGTTGGATCCCCTGGAACTGTAGTTACAGATGGTGGTAAGCTGCCATGTAGGTGCTGGGAACCAAACCTGGGTCTTCTGCGAGAGTAGCCAGGTTAAGAACCTCAGAACCTCTGAGTCATCTCTCCAGCCCTGTCCTGATATTATTAAATTACATTTATTTATTATTTATTTATGAGTGTGTATGCACATGGGCACACACATCACAGTGCATGTTGAAGGTCAGAGGCCAAAGAGAAATGGCTCTTGAGAATTTGATGGAACCATTTCAGGTTTTTGAAATGCTGCTGTGGCCCACATCAGCCCTTATACAATCTTTGTGCTGGTCTTAAAGTCTCTATGTTGGTTTCCCTGAAGCTTTCCCAAGTGCTGACATTAGTGTGGTGACATGAGTAATGGACACTGCATTTTCATTCATTCCTTTGACATTTAATGAGCACCAGCTGTTTCCAGCTCCATGAGCAAGACAGACCCAGCCAGATGTGATGCCACATGCTGTGACCCTAACACTCAGAAGACCCACACAAAAGGGTCATAAATTCAAAAATAATAGAATATGGCTAGGCATGGTGGTGCATGCCTTTAATCCCAGCACTCTGGAGGCAGAGACAGAGCTCTGTGAGATTGAGGCCAGCCTGATCTACATAGTGAGTTCCAGGCCAGCTGGGGATACAAGGAGACCCTATCTCAAAAAAACTGAAATAAAAAGAAAAAGACCAAGCGAGTTGGAGACATCATATAGAGGTGGCCTTGGTGAACGAGACTGGGCAGTGTGGACACGGACTGAGAGGATCCTGTGTCCCCAGGATGTGGAAGTGGCTGAACGTCTCAACGCCAGCCTGGCTTTCTTCCTCAGCGACCTGCTGTCTATAGCAGACAGGGGCTTCGTGTTCCGCCTGGTACAAGCTCACTACAAGCAGGTAAGTGTGGGGGTGGCTAGCGTGTGAGGGTATGGCCAGGGTAGATGGTTGTGGCATATGCAGGTGTTTGCATGGCCAGTGTATGAGTGAGTTGAGCGTGGCCAGTGCCTGAGTGGTTGATAGCATGGGTGGGCGTGGCAATACCTGAGTGGCTGAAGGTGGGTGGGTGTGGCTGAGATGTCCGCCAGATGAGGGATGTAGGGATGGTCTGTGAGCAGAGCTATGGTGAAGTCACTGCTGCTGCTCCCTTACCTACAGGTGGCCACCCGGCTACAGTCATCCCCCAACCCAGCCTCCCTGCTGACCCTGCGCATGGACTTCACCCGAATCCTGTGCAGCCACGAGCACTACGTGACCCTCAACCTCCCTTGCTGTCCCCTGTCGCCGCCAGCCTCCCCCTCCCCCTCCTTGTCCTCTACCACCTCCCAGGTAGGCCCCTGCACATCTCTCCCTTCTCCCACATCCCTCCCCCTCCTCTGCCTCCCCTATCCTCTACCCCCTCCATCTTCCTTTCCCTTTCATCCTCCCCCTCCCTCCTCCCTCTTCTCTGTTGGGTTTTGGTTTCCTATCTTCAACCCAGTCTTCCACATTTCTGGGTACTTCCTGGTAGGCTTCTGCCCAGGTGGACCCTTGACCTTTGACTTTTCACCTCTGAGTCTTCACCCACATCTGATCATTCTCAGAGATTTCCCAGGAAAAACAACCCCAGAACCTAATTCTCAGACTGACTTTCCATATGCTGTCTCTTTGAGTGTGAACCCCATGCCCCATCACTTAAGGGATAGGTTAATCCTGACCTCTCACTTCTGACCTTTAACACTATGCTCATGGTAGTCCCGCTGCACCATCACTGCTATCCCACAGTGAGTGTGGGGGCAGTATCATGACACACTACTGTTAATTTTTTCTTTAAAAAAAAAAAAACATTTGAGCTAGTGAGCTCTTGCAGAGGACCTGGATTCAGTTCCCAGCACCCACATGGTGGCTAATAATACCCTCTTCTAGCCTCCGTGGTCACCCACACATACATATACATATCTTACACAATAAATAAGATAAATAAATAAATAAAATCTTATGGTCAGGTGTGGCAGGTAGATCTTTGTGGTTTAATAAGGCGTTCCAGGCCAGCCAGAGCTACATAGTGATGACCTGTCCCAAAAAGGGCATGGTGGCACGCGCCTTTAATCCCAGTGCTCATCTTTAATCCCAGCACTCGGGAGGCAGAGGCAGGCAAATCTCTGTGAGTTCAAGGCCAGCCTGGTCTATGTAGTAAGTTCTAGCCCAGCTGGGGCTGTAGTGAGAACCACTCAAAAAAAAAAAATTATCTATTTTGTGTGTGAACACATGTGTGCCATGATGTGCATGTGGAAGTCAGAGGACAAGTTGTACAAGTCAGAGCTCTCCACCATGTGGGTTCTGGGAATTGAATTCAGGTCCTCAGGCTCAGCTGAAAACCCTTTTATCTGCTGAGCCAACTTCCTGGCCACTTCTGAGGAGATTTTAGGAGTGGAAAGTGAGAAATACCCAGACTAGGACTTGTAGGTTCGTCTCTTTCATCCCAATCTCTTATCTCTAGCTCCTGATAATATGGCTTGAGTAACTCCCAAGATGGCCATCATAGTCACCTTATACCTCTGACCCCTGTCCCTGGACACCCCACTTTTCTGCAGAGTTCCGCCTTCTCCAGCCAGTCTCCCGACCCCAAGGTGACCAGCATGTTTGAGCTGAGTGGAACCTTCCGTCAGCAGCATTTTCTGTCTGGACTTCTGCTGACTGAACTGGCCCTGGCCCTGGAGCCTGAGGCTGAGGGGTGAGTAGGGGGGTCTTGGGTATGTCCAGGGCAATGCACAATAGGCCAGGAGCCTTGTCTGCTCTGTACTGAGCACCCCTTTCGCCACAGGGCATCCGTTTTGCACAAGAAGGCCATCAGTGCAGTGCACAGCCTGCTATGCAGCCACGACATTGACCCTCGCTACACAGAGCCCACTGTGAAGGCCAGGGTGGCTGAGCTGTACCTGCCCCTACTCTCCATTGCCAGGGACACACTGCCACGGCTGCACAGCTTCACAGGTCAGATCACTGGGAAAGGAGGGGATACCATGATCCTCTAGGGCATGGGATCGGGAAGTCAGGACAACGGAAGCAAGCAGAGTTGACCCAAAGGTCAGCAGACCAGGTTCAGGTTCTACTATACGGCCTTGAACCTGTGACATCCCTGAACTTTGTTTCTCACCTGTGAATTGAAACAGCTTTGGTGTGTGTTACATCACACAGAAATATGTGCAAATATGGAGTACTATAAAACTGACATTAGAGTGGGCATGGTATTGCAGGCCTAGATCCCAGCACTCAGGAGGCAGAGAAAGCTGGATCTCCGGGAGTTTGAGGCCAGCCTGGTCTAAATAGTGAGTTCCAGGCTACAAAGAGACCCTATGTCAAAAAATCAAACAAGGGGTTGGAGAGATGGCTCAGCAGTTAAAAACACTGGCTGCTCTTGCGGAAGACCTGAGTTTGTTTCCCAGTAACCATATGGCAGAGAGCAGCCATCTGTAATTCCAATTCCAAGGGATCTGACACCCTCTTTTAGCCTCTGTGGGTATTGTACACATGGTGCATTTATATACATGCAGGCAAAACACTCATACATATAAAATAAAAATAAATAGACGTTATTTAAAAAACAAAGGCAAACAAAAATCCCTGACATTGGTAGCCTGTGCCAAGTGGGAGGCACAGTGCCAGTGCCAGCATGCTTTACCTTCTGAGGGAAGCTGAGGACAGCTAAACGGGAGGATGGGAGTGATAGAAATAAAAGTCAAGGTCCAAGGATCCCATCAATGCTGTACAAAGAACAGGTGGGTAAAATAACTCAGCAAGGCACAATTTTCTTTTACAAAAGGGTATGTTGTGTGGTCAGTCAGACCCAATAAGCACACAGGGTCCAAAAGCTTGGTAGGCTTTTATCTATAAAGCAAGAATACTATATTTTGCTAGGCATGGTGGTACACATCTTTAATCCCAGCACTTGGGATGCAGAGACAGGTGGATCTCTGTGAGTTCAAGGCTAGTGTGGTCTACATAGGGAGTTCCAGGCCAGCTGGGGCTACAGGGAGACCCTGTCTCAAAAAAAAAAAAAAAAAAAAAAAAAAAAAAGAGTGCCACGTCTTTTCTCTGTTGGCTGGGGTTTCTCCTCACAGGCTTTCAGAATCTGGGCTAAGGGAGAAGAGCTCCATTGCCCCAGGCCATCAAGTTCAGGAATGCATTAGGGCCCTTTACCAGGCCCAGCAGGGCCTTTCTTTAGAACAAAAGTTTTACAGAGTGTTGTGGGATTAAAAGATAAGAATTCCTTGTGCCTGTAGACCCAGCACCTGGGAGGCAGAGGCAGGAGGATCTCTGTGAGTTCAAGGCCAACCTCATCTACATAGTGAGTTCCAGGACAGCTGGGGCTACAGGGAGACCCTGCTTTAAATAGAAAAAAAAAAAAAAAGGTATGATAGTCAAGATACCACTCCAGTAAGGCTATCTAAAAGGGTCCAAAAGTAAATCAGTGGCTTTATTTGCATAATTGCAGGATAAAGGTAGGAAAGGAAGTCTTTAACTGATATCTAGAACAAGATGTGAGGGAAGAGAAAAAGCAAGAGCATTATGAGTTCTCAGGAACAAGGAGAGCTTCCTGATGGGCTCACAAGAGCATCCATCTATTGGGTTTCTCCTTGTTTTTCTTTTGGCTTCCAAGGGTGGACTCCAGAGTGATGAACTCAAGGTTTGCTTTCAGGCACTTTCATGCAGTTGGAATGGCTAAAAATCACAGTGTGAGTTCTCTCCCAAATGGGAGGGAGACAGGGAGAGAAAAGTAATGTAGTCATCATTTAATTTTTAAGTTAAAACAATATTGGAGCTGGGCATGGTGGCCCACACCTTTGATCCCAGCACTCGGGAGGCAGAGGCAGGTGGATCTCTTTGAGTTCAATGCCAGTCTGGTCTACATAGTGAGTTCCAGGACAGCTGGGGCTGCAGGGAGACCCTGTCTCAAAAAGACAAAAAACAAAACAAAAAAACCAACAAAAGAATATTGGGCCTGTCTTAGCTGCAGGCAGGCACTGCAGTGTTGAATTGTGTCATGGTCTGAAGTCTTATATCTGAGTAACGTTTGTCTCATCAAGAAGAAAATCATTAGTGAGAATTGTCTAAGTAATATCTCGTGTGAACTTGAGCCTAGTGGCTGAGAGGGATAATCCCTTGGACTCTTTTTTTTGGCTTTTTGACACAGGGTCTCCCTGTAGCCCCAGCTGGTCTGGAACTCACAGAGATCTGCCTGCCTCTGTCTGCCTCCCGAGTGCTGGGACTAAAGGCATATGCCACCATGCCTGACATCTCTTTTTTTAATTTTTATTTTATTTATTTATTTATTTATTTATTTATTTATTTATTTATTTATTTATTTATCTTTTTGAGACAGGGTCTCCCTGTAGCCCCAGCTGTCCTGGAACTCACTATGTAGACCAGGCTGGCCTTGAACTCACAGAGATCTGCCTGCCTCTGCCTCCGGAGTGCTGGGATTAAAGGCGTGTACCACCATGCCTGGCTACTTTTTATTTTTTTTAAAAATATTTATTATTTTTATTTTATGTGTATGAGTGTATTGCTTGCATGTAGGTGAGTGCACATGTGTTGTGCAATGCCACAGGGGTCAGAAGAGCGCTTCGGATTCCCCTGGAACTGGAGTTAAGGACGGTTTGTAGCTGCCATGTGGGTGCTGGGAATCAGACCCAGGTCCTCTGCAAGAGCAGTCAGTGCTCTTAACCGCTAAGCCATTTCTCTAGCCCTTTTAACCTTTTTAAAAATTAATTAATTTATTTATTTATTGTCTTTTTGAGACAGGGTCTCCCTGTAGCTCTAGGTGGCCTGGAACTCACTATGTAGACCAGGCTGGCCTTGAATTCACAGAGATCTGTCTGCCTCTGCCTCCCAAGTGCTGGGATTAAAGGCATGTGCCACCATGCCCAGCTATTTTATTTTGTATGTATGGGTGTATTGCCTGCATGTACGTGGGTGCACCCGTGTCAGATCCCCTGGATACAGCCCCCTCTCTTTTTTTTCAAGAAAAGCACCCAGTGAAGTTAGAATAGTAGAAGGAGAAACTACCCTCAGATATGTAGGCTCCAAAAAATAGGAAATTAAGAAGGAATTCATGGTCTCAAACCAAGGGAAGGAGTCCATGTTTCTTACTACCATTTGTACTTGTGAATGCCAAGCAGTGTCATCTGAATCTACTCTCCAGGTTGTCAAGTGCACTTTTCCCTTCCTCTTTCCCCTGCTCATAGTGCTCAATCCTCTACACAAGCCATATCTGGAAAAGGCTTCTGAGGGAAGCAGAAGAATGGGGAGGTGTGCCCCTGAATGTCACCTTGACTCCATTTTGTTTTACTCAAGCATGTCTTAAACTGCGATCAGACAAATCTGCGGCCCTCCTTGTTGACTGGAAATCATGACATGTAGAAAACAATTCATTAATAATAGTCAATCTTGATTTAAAACTAGCAGGCTGTGTGGAAGTTATACCCATTTAGAAAAGTAACTGCCTAGGGACCATATGATCTAAGGCCTTTTCAGACCTAACCATACCAAGCCACTCTGCTCCTTTTTTTTGTTTGTCTTTTGCCTTTTTGAATCAGGGTCTCCCTGTATCCCCTGCTGGCCTGGAACTTACTATGTAGACGAGGCTGGCCACGAACTCAGAGATCCGTCTGCTTCTGCTTCCCAAGCGCTGGCATTAAAGGCGTGCGCCACCACGCCCTGCCTTCTGTTCCAGTTTTTATCTTTTTATACATATATGGCCAACTCTTGGTCACAAAATGTTTTTTCCTGGTCCCAAGGATCCTCCGGGTTTAATACAGAATATTTTCCCATTTGGCCTCTTTAGTCTATGAAAAAATAATGAATTCAGCTGAACCTTCATCTAGTCCTAGCTGGATATTAAAAGCCTTTCTGATACCTTGAGATTGAGGAGTCAGTTCTTTCCATCCCACTCATAGATCTCCTAGCTCCTCACTGTTTCCCATTGGTTTCATTTTTGTCATCCCATCTTGTTAGGGAATTTAACCTCAGGTGCCAGGACCTCCCTTGACCGGTGGGATGTTTTCCCAAATAACAGGTGTGGTCCTCTTGATAATCATCTGCCTTTCTCCCAAGAACAGAATGCTCGAGATAGACATTAATTCCACCAGGTACTGGGACCCTAAGAATTGGTCTGCCATACCACAGGGACTTTTAATAAATTCTTAAGTTCTCTTTTTAGATCTCTGCCCTCAGTACTACTTAGTGGGTCATGGACAAATCCAATTGCTCCCCCTTTGAGGGAGAATAAAGTCTGGACCTTTTCCTGGGGAGTCAGAGAGAAGTGGAGATTTTGGAGGTCATTTTTACATTGTTCAAAAAATTTTCTTTTCCTTAGGTGGGGCAAGAAGGGGTATTTTGAAAAGGGTAGGGAAGCCTCTGGCCCAGCTAGATGAGTTAATTTCCCCACTGTCTAGAGAATCTGTTTCTTTTCTTTCTTACTTTCTTTTTCTTTCCTTTTTTCCCCACAGAGCTCAGTTTGGCCTAATTATTTCCCATTCCGGTCCCTTAGAAGGTCAACCCCACCATCCCTAAGGAGGAGGCTTCTTGCATTTCAGTTTGCCATTTCACCCCTCCCTGACCAGTTCCCTTGAAGGAACTTGGATCAGGGCTCCACCAACCCCTGGAAGGCCCCAAGCACCAAGGCAGAACTTTGTCATCCCCATGACTTTTCTTACCTTGTTCTGTGCAGAATTGCTCAGTCTCCATGATGCCCGTCTCCTACATTGCTGAGAGTAATGATCTTGGGATCATTTCTGATCCAAGAAGTTCCAAATACTCAAGCCTTGGGGCCACTGCAACAGGCAGTGGGATGTGTCTATCCAAAGTTAGGGTTCTCAACTTCTTCCTAGATGGAATTAGAATCTTGGATGAGCCCCTAAATTGTTAAAAAAAAAAAAAAAAATCTGAGGCTCTAGGACCCCGTCAATACCACACAAAGAACACTGGAAGGAAGCAAAAATAACTCAGCAAGGCAGATTTCACTTTTGCAAAGGGATGCATTGTGTGGTCAGTCAGATCCAGCTAGCACACAGAATCCAGAAGCTTGGTCAGCTTTCATCCCAAACACAGGAATACTGTGTCTTTTGCCCATTGACTGTGGTCTGACTTCACAGTCTTTCCTGGTTGGCTAGTTTAAAAAACTTGGCATGAGCCGGGCGTGGTGGCGCACACCTGTAGTCCCAGCACTGGGGAGGCAAAGGCAGGTGGATCTCTGTGAGTTCAAGGCCAGCCTGGTCTACATAGCAAGTTCCAGGCCAGCTGAGGATACAGGGAGACACTGACTCAAAAAAGACCAAATAATAGTAATAATAATAATGATAATAAAGAGAAGACTAGTATTTAATGTTTCTTGCCACAGGAATTGGAGCTTTGTCTCCATTTCCCCATTCATACATTCTCTTTTTTTTTATAAAAATATTTTTTTTATTTTATTTATTATTTTTATTTTATGTGTACAAGTGTATTGCCTGCATGTATGTGAGTGCACCTGTGTCGTGCAATGCTGTACAG